GTGGAAGTGGCAGCACCTGCTTGAGAGTTTGTTGGCATGAACGGCAACACTTAACACTTCACTGGGAAGCCATAAAAGCACGTTCCATGTCACTAATGCAGCCAGCATTTGCCTCATTTGAAAAGTGGGATTAGGGACTATTTCTCTTACAGTATTCTTGCATCTTAGAAAAAGGGACTTTAAGAACACAAAAAGCAATGAACAGAAATTCTTGATTCCTGGCATGCTATCATCATTGACCGCTGCTTGGCCTTCTTAACTTCAGATTACTTTTATTTAAGAGCAAACACCTGAGGAAGCCAATGCCCGAGCAAGAACTAGAATACCAGCACTGTTGCTTCAAACCTTGACCTGAGGAAAACGAGCAGGGCTCCACCCTGTCCTTTCTCTGCCTCTCACACACATCAGGTGCCTCCTAGAAGAGGTGCTGGTCACTGCTTCACTTTCTAAAAATGGACCTGACCAAAAATTCTCGAGTGTATCATATATGAATACAGTAAGCATATACTTTCATATGCTATGAAAACATGATTTATTATAGTATATGAATATGTCATATATTATAATATGCAATCCAGTTTTCTTCATGAATAAAAAGTAGCGTCACACTGTATTTAGCCTGTTTTTTTTCATTCAACATTGGTTCCGAGAGCACTGATGCGGTCCGGAAAGCTGTGCTTCATTTTCACCTGGTTTCAGTCCATGGTGCGATTCTTCTAAAATTATTTTCTCCTGCCAATAGCTATGTGGGTTCCTTCTCTCTTCTTACAAAAGGACAATCTTTGCTGTTACGAAAGTTCTTTTAACTATCTCACATTGCACTAAGCATAATACAGATATACTATAACACCTTACACTAAGGCGCTAAGGTTTCTCTGGGACATTCCTACATCGTTTTACTGGGTTTTAAGGGATGGGCAACCACACAGATAAGAAGTGATTCGTCCATGGTCGTTACACCAACACACCTACCTGTCCACCAATGTGGATGGTTCCTTCCAAAGGAGCCATGCCATGTAGGACTGCCCTCAGAAGTTCGGTTTGAATCCCCTATGCTGTCTGAGGTTCCTCTATCCCGCTTCCCTGTATCTTGCTGGCATTTCTCCAACCCAGGAAGCACAGCTGGGAGCATCTGCAGACACATGTGGGAAGAATCGCACAAGTCAACTGTTTGCAGGCCTCCTACCTTACTGCCTTCCCTCTATTCACACTGGTGACCGGAGCCTCACTGCTGTTTCTGCTTGTGATTGTGACTGTGTGTTAGCTTAGAGAAGCTTGGACTACATTCCCCAGCATTCCCTTTTCTCACTCTTGGCAAAAGGCCCGGGGAGCTCTTGGTGTGAGATTTGGAAGGTGGCAGTGGTGAGGTCACAGCAAGGGTGTCGTGAATGTGAAGGTTGGTGTGGGCTGCCAGGCAAGGCGGCAGCACATGAGTGGTCGCCAAGCCGCTGGCTCACTTGGTTGTTCTGGGGCGGCTGCCAGGCTTGCAGCTCCTGCAGCTGCTGCCAAGTCTTCCCCCTCCCTGTGTCCTGAGCCAGGCACAGTGCAGCTCTGCTTCTGCATGTCTCCTACAACACTCATCCAGGGGAGGAAGCAGAGAGAGATAGGTGGATCCTGCGGGTTCCCATTTGTTTTCACGGGTTCCAATGTGGTCTTGCGGAGTTTGTTTCCCAGTTTCCAGTTCTCCTGGTTCCTGAGAAGCAGAGCCTGCAGTTCTACCATGACTCTGGAGCCATCACAAACCAGACAATTTTCTGATGCAGGCTTCTGCCCCAGTTCTTGTCATTACAGGAGACTCAATATTTCTTCTTTTTCATGTTTTTTAAAGACAATAACAAGGCCTGGCATGGTAGCCCAGTGGCTGAATTCCTCTCCTTGCACGCACTGGGATCCCATATGGGCACTGGTTCTAATCCTGGAATCTTCTCTTCCCACCAATCTCCCTGCTTATGGTCTGTGAAAGCAGTTGAGGACAACCTAAAGCTTTGAGACTGTGCACCTGCATGGGAGACATGGCAGAGCCTCTTGGCTCCTATATTTGGGTCGCCGCAGCTCTGGCCGTTGTGGCCACTTAGGGAGTAAATCAATGGATGGAAGATCTTCCTCTCTGCTTCTCCTCCTTTCTGTGTATCTGCCTTTCCAATAAAAATAAAATAAATCTCAATGAACATATATGTTTCAGGAGAGCAAGTGTTTAGCGTAGGTGTTGGGTGCCGGCATTACTCATGGCAGTGCCTGAGTTTGAGTTCCCAGCTCTAGCTCTGGACCTGTTTCCAGCTGATGCAGTCCCTAGAAGGCAGTAAGCAATGGCTGCCGTAGTTGGTTCCCAGCCATTCACATTGGATGATTGGCTTCTGGTCGCAGCTGGCTCTAGCCCTTGCTGCTGTGAGGATCTTAGGGGTGAATCACTAGAGGGAAAACTGCCCTCTAATAAGTAAGACAAACAAAACTTCAGCAAGAAATTACAAACATATTTAAAGCAATCATAGTAAAAATGAAAGATACAATGGCAGAACAGAGGACACGATGAAACCAGCAACCTGGGAGATAGGAAATGCTCAAATTCTGGAGGGAAAAGGAAGAGTTAAATCTTAAGTTGTGTAAGGAGAGGAGAAATTTTTATCCTTATTTCTCCAAGTTCTTTTTTCTGGCCTTTCTTACTCCTCTCCTTTTAACTCTTCCTTTTCCCTCCAGCGAGTTCAGGTTTGGATTCCTGTGCAAGGCTTCCACCAGGGTCTGTATAGCCCCAGCTCCTGGCTCGCCCCTCTCCATCTCCTGTGCTGTCATTGCCTATACAACCTTTTGTTCACTTACAGCTTGAGCAGTTCCCAGGACGAGGGAGACAACACATGTCCTAAATAACTAGGTTGTTGCTAGTGCTGTAATCTGCAGGCTGTTAGGTCTGAGGACCACCTGGACCTAGGATGCCAAAGTCAGTATTATTTCTCCTGTGGGACCAGTGCACGCACAGCTCACTGTTGTCCCTCCAGTCTGTCTTTGTACACTGTACAAAATAACACCTAATGTACCTCTGGTGGAGGCCAGAATCTGTTGGCCGTTAGGTCTGGCTTCTACCCAGACGTGCGGTGCCACTTTGGTGCAACGCACTGAGCCAGAAATGAGTTAGCTCCTCAACAATTACAATTTAAATGTGACTATCTGCAAAGGCAGACTAAATCCTAAATCTATGCAGAAAACTATAAAGTTTTGGTGACCAGAATAAAAATATAAATGGAAAGCTGTCCATAAATACAAAGTCTTGTGTTGTAATTCTGTACATTAGACATTGCTTTTAAAATAAAATATCACTAAAACTTTTAGAAACGTTAACAAGCTGGTCCTAAAATTTTACGAGACCACAGGGCTTCAGGATGGCCAAAACAGCTGTAAGCAACAGTAAGAATGACGAAGCTCTGGTGGTCCTCCTACCAGACTGCAAATCTTACTGTAAAACTTTCTATGATTAAAAGTTTGATAAGGCTTGATGATTATACTTACATAAAGCCTATAGAAAGGGCTACAAATATGGAAATGATATATGAAAAAGGTGAATACAAGATCAACTTTTTAAATAGAGGGCACTATAAAAATAGGTATGATTCCTTCCTGCCCCTCCCAAAAGCAGGTGTGAAGCTGATGGGGCATAACCTATACAAAGGACATTCCTACTAGTTAAAGACCTAAAAGCATGGGTGAATACCATATTAGAATTTAAGATAAAGTAGAAACCCAAATAAAATTAGTATTAAGATGAAAAACTTACATGATAAATCATAAAGTAGAAACGCCAAGGGAATAATTCCAAGGATTCATATACAGTACCCACCGTCAACAGGAAGAACACACACTGTACAATTCGGCAAAAGATGCAGATGGCATGCAGAGGGCAAGCTCCAATGTTTATCAACAATCTACTAATATCAAAGTGTGGCAAGAGCATGGGGCAACAAAAACTCAGACTTTGCTGGTGAGAAAATAAACTGGTATAGGCACTTCGGTCATTTTGTAACAGTAAGGTTACAACTAAAAATGTATTTCACTCTCCAAGAGTGTGTTAATGACAAGCTTTACAGAATCCTTCACATATTCTAGGAAAACTATCTCAGTAAGGAAAAAGGTTTTCTTGTAACGTTTTACCTCAAGACATTGGATGCAAAGCTTTGTTATAGATCTTGTAAGAAAATACTTGAAAAAGGCATTTTGTCTATATTGAACATGGACAACTTTTTCTTGTTGCTGTTCCTGAAAAAATACAGCACAATTAGTTACCTGGCATTTATACTGTATTAAATATTATAAACCAGATATCACTTAAAATACAGTTGTGCATAGGTTACACATAATAACACTATTCCAACTTACACAAAAGATTTTTCTACCAACTTCTGCCCCCAAACAAAGCTTTTACTGCGTTTGACCTGGAAATTATCTTACAAATTGCTCTATCCTGTAATGTTGATTCTAAAGCAGGGAGTAAAAGGAAACAGATTTCCTTTCTCTATTACTCTCATCTGAATACCCTATTAATTTGTAGTTAATAGGACTTCAAGGAAGTTAGAGATTTTTTAAGCCAAAAGCTCATTGTGTTCTCTTTGCCCAAAACTATACTTCCTCCTCAGTCCCAGGGAATTCAATTAAGAATCTTTTATTAGATGTTGCCAAAAGTCAGTAACCAATAGCTAACATAGTGTGCTTATTATATGTTGAACAGTGTCTTAAAGATTTTACATTTTTTAACTCAGTCTTTGAGGTCAATATTCTTGCTATTTATATTTTCTAGACAAGCAAACTGAGGCATACAGAAGGTGATGTGTCTACAGTTAACTAGCCAGTAAGTGATAAAGTCAAGATTCAATTTGGTCCCAGAGCATACATTCTTAATTGGGAATCTATGCTGCCTAATTGGACAAATAGCATCATTCTGGAAAACTTAGTCTGACAGTTACAAATGCATTATTTTAAAGAAAATGAGATTGAAAGAAAAAGAATAATAGACTCAATTATCAAAGAACTTTTTTTATTCTTTGCCAAACACTTAAAAACATTACTTGATTCTATTTCCTGCTTTAAAGTCAGTTTCATTTTGCACTGCACATGCCTTTAAAGTGAAGGTTTTCTTGTACTGTAACAATGAGAGCACTCTTTCCTTCAATTTTTTTTATTAAGTTGGTTGCATAAAAGATATACATTCCTCATATCAACATTTTGTCACAAACGAAAGCAACAAAAATAAGGCAATAGTAAGATATGCTTCACATATAAACAATCATATTCTAAGACTAGGAAATCTGAATCCTTGCACAAGAACATTAGGAAGCAAAATGTGAGTAAGCCCTTGTTCAGCATATCCCTAGATGTGTGTGCAGAGTATGCCCACATTAAAGCTCAGGTTCCTTTATGATGCATAATTCCTTATCATCCACTTGTGAATTGAGAAACAACATTAAGAAACATGAAATCTGAATCATTTATTTTCACAATATCAATGCTAAACTCAAGATAGCCAACTTCATCGACTCTAAATACTAAATATGCCAAAAGAAAAAAGATAATCCTAATTTTTTAACCCTCTGAAAAGGGTATTGCCCACCCCCCCCCCAAAAAAGTGGCCTATTTTTCTCTACTTGCAAGGAGACCAGGTCTCAACCTATGCTAACGCAGCAGGGCAACACACGATAGCAAACGTGACCACGAACAACGCCCACACACAGAAGGATCTAGATGAACTGTGTTCTTTCTACAGATACATGAGGGGACTTCAAAGAAGCTCAAGGAAAACATGCTCTATGAAATCACCAGTGTAATGCAAGCTTCTGTCTCATGCAACAGAATTACTAAACAAACTACAATCTATTAGAAAAGTACAAAGTCCTGCTCTTAACACAATTTTAATACCTGCCTATTAAGTATGACAGGTCATTTAGAAAAACAGAGCATATACCCAGTCTTTGCAATTACATTTTAATAAGATGAACAACGTTCAGATGTAAATTTTGAACTAAGTATATATTTTCTGTAAATAAAAAACTTATATAATCTAGGATTTCTCGAACAAAGACAGATCTGGGCATATATCTTTACAAACTTAAAGTAGTGTATTTACCAAAGAATTTTCTTCCTATTATATGATAATATATATTTTTTTCTGAATGAAGATATACACTAAGGCTTAAGGTGTAAACACTTCAGAAAGCAAATAATTTACTGCTTATTTAAAAATGTCTATCATCTCATAATAGGCCCCTGAACTTTCAAATTTACATGTAAGAATACATTTACATCTTACATTTCTAGGAAAGGCACAGGCTTTATGTAAAAAAAGCAGCAAAATTTAAAATCCACCAATTTATTGAAAAAGAGCCATTACTTTTATTAGAAACCAATATTGCTTCTCAACATGTTGGCAACACATCGTAGCACAGGCACAGGATTCCTGCAGTGCACTTCTTCCTACATTCCAGTAGGCGGAGCAACACCTCCTTGGCCGTGGGCAGTAGAAGTATTTGATGGGCTATGTAAACTCGTCTCCTTGTACACAAACCACGCATTTCCTCCCCAAAGGATCATGTTCAGAAAGCCAAAGATCTATGAAAGAGAAAAATAAAAGATATTAACATCTATTTAAAAACCAAGTCCTACTTAAAAATTTTTATCTTTAAATATGTAACATTTTCAGGCAGTGCTATCAGTGTGTAAAGTTTAACATATGCAATAGAAGGTAAAAAGCGAAGGCTTTATATTTCAATATACAATATTTGGATATATGATGACTTACTCTCATCTCTTCAAAATTTTAACATAAACTCATGATAAAAATTAATTTTGCATGGTGGTCATTACTACCAAAAAATGAGATTAAATGAGAAGATGGAAGCTCTTCTTTTATTGGTTTGTACACAGACTCTAGAATGAAAAGGAACATAAGGAATCCTCATTTTCTTCTTTTGGAGGCTTTCATTTTTCTCCTATCAGAAGGTGTTGCAAACTGTATACCTGTTTCTACTTTTCTCCTACCTCCCTCTGCTGCCGACTGTTCGCACCAGTCCGATAACTGTGGGCAGAAGAGACGTCACACAGGAATTGCATCCACACCCTGCACTAGTCACTACGAAAGAAGGTAATCTTCTCCAATGTAAATCCGTGACTGGATGAAAGCATCACGAATAAACTGCAGCTCTCCTATTTCAAGAGTTCTTTTATAAATCTAACAGTGACTTAAAAAGGTCAAGATAAAAATCTTCTGAGAACTACCCTACTATTGAAGGTCAAATGCTTTCTCTGTACACCAAAGCATTTCTTAATGGTTCAGATCAAAGATTTAGAAAGCAGAGTTCTATGATTAGGGCTGGTTCAAACCTTAGCTTGCCATTTACCAGCAGTGTCATCTGGGCAGTATCATGCTTGAGATGCATTATCCTCAGTTGTAAAAATGAAAGCAACAATTCTACCTTCCAGAGTCTTCCTGCGATGACTGGATTGCTTAAAACAAGCTACAGTGCAAAGACCTTAGCACAAAATTTTAGCAAAAGTCTCACCTTGTCAATTTTAAGACTTAATAGGGATCTTTTTCAAATATATTTTATTTATATATATGTATTATATTTATATTTTTTCAAATAATATTTTAAAACTTTTGTTCACTTTATAAAGGTAAATACTATTTTAGGGTTCTGATAACAGTAAGAATAAAAAACAAGAGGTCCTTCCAGAGATTTGTTGAAAATTGTTTTCTTAAACCAATATCAGTTTTTTTCCCTGACAAGTGAAGTAAAAATGCATACATACCACCGACACATTTAGGGATCCCATGCTGGTTACTGAGCCAAAGTAACAATGCACTTTCGGATCTTTGCAAGGCAGAAGTTCCTGAACAATGCTGTGACCGGTGGTTATTTTAATATCCGTAAGAGCTTTAGCCCAGGCTGAAGTGCTCACCAACCACAAAAAAGTGAAAATAAGGGTAAAAACGAAGTCCTAAAGAAAAACAAGCATGAGTTAACTAGTGAAAAAGCAACTTGAGAATACTAAATGTCAATCACAGACAACGCAGTGGTACTGAGAAATGGCTTTCATGGCCATCCTTCACAGAGCAGGTCACAAGACTCAACTATCTTCCTCAGGAATCTAAGATCTTTACAACTGCAAATCAAAATTGCTAATATGAGGCAATGAAATATTATGTTTTCTCTAGGTTAAAAATCCAATGTTGGCCAAGATATAAAATTCTTTCTTTAGGTGTATTCTTTCTTCCTATTTAGTTGAAAATCACACTGTCTTCTTCAGCTCTTAAGTCACACAGATGATGGCTTTAGGAATAGTACTTTAGAAAATTATTTATTTGAAAGGCAGAGTGAAAAAAAAAGGTCTTCCATTCCCTGGTTCACTCCTCAGATGGCTGCAAGCTAGCTGCAAGCTGAAGCCAAGATCCTGGCACTCTATGCATGGTTTCCATATAGATGGCAGAGGCCTGAGCGTGCTGCTTTCCTGGTGCAGTAGGAGGGAGCTGAATTGGAAGTAGAGCAGCCAGCACTTGGACTGGTGCTCTGGTATTGCATGAACTGCACAATACCAGCCCTACAAGACGGTTAGGGTGAAGGGAAGTGGGTGAAACCCTGGTCGCAGTATAGTATTTTTGTTACACAGTACTACAGTTCTGCTACACTCTAAGTAAGCACTGCCACATGGAGTTCAGAAATACACGAAACCACAGCTGCCTGCGGCAGGCTGCTCCGAGTAAGGTTATGACTCATAGCAGATTTCTAGGGTTTGGGACAACCTATTTTGTTTGGTCTTCATTTTCCTGGTATTCTTGATCGTCTATGTTGCCTAGAACAACTATTAAGTTCCTGCTACTGAATATAAAAAGTACAATGCTTACCTAAAAAGAGAATGAAAATAGATCCAAAATTTCGTAACTGAAACATTCCCAAGAATATACCTTAGAACACAATTGAGGACACTGCTCAAAAAGTGTGTCCTGGGCCCGGCGGCATGGCCTAGTGGCTAAAATCTTTGCCTTGAATGTGCCGGGATCCCATATGGGTGCTGGTTCTAATCCTGGCGGCCCCACTTCCCATCCAGCTTGTGGCCTGGGAAAGCAGTGGAGGACGGCCCAAAGCCTTGAGACCCTGCGGGATACCCAGAAGAAGTTCCTGGATCCTGGCTTCGGGCCAATGACATCGGACGGAAGATCTTGCTAGGCTACCACGCCTGGCCCAGGAATGTAAAATTTTTAAAAACTACTAGACAAAATGTGAGAAGGGCTTACTGCTACGTTATCCCAAAACTTGAGACAATGACAAAATTGCAAGAGCACACCTTTTGATCATAAATAATTTTAGCCAACTATTACTGTGTATTTGATCATTTTAGTCCCTCTTCAACAAGGCTTGGAAAACTCGCAGAAGCTGTAGACTTGTAACGCCATTCCTCTTGAATATATAACACATACATATACACATCGTAAGTCAGAACACCTCACATCCATCCTTCTTAAACGCATTTTACAACCAAGAAGTATTTTATGGTTTCCTTATTCTCAGATATGAAAAACAGAATAAATATGAATGCTAAACACTACTTTATTTCTGACTTACCATATGCATGCTTATGATCCAGGGAGCAAAAATTAAAAATAGAACACATTATCTTATTTAATAATACATTCATATTTAAATACTTAAATAGGATAAATTATTCTCATTGTTAAAAATGATCAATTTCACAAAAATACCTCTGTTCTCTAAAAATGTGAACAGCACTAACACCTTACAGCCATTCTTTTACAGTGGAGGTCGAGTTTAAAACTATGACTTATCTCTGAACTTGCCACTGAGAATCCAGATACATTCTAAACTAAAACTCAGAAGTTATTTATTTCTAGATCATTAAACTCTAAGGCCAAGAAAGGTATCAAAACATCAAATCCAAATACTTTGTTGGCCTCTCAAACATTCAATATTAACAAATGGACACCATTAAAATTAAATATAAGAACTATTTGGGACAGACACTAAGTTAAGGAATTTAGAAATACACACTAGGAGTGAACAAACTTTTCTGAAAGGGGCCAGATGGTAAACTGTGCCACCACAGCACGGAAGCAGTCATAGACAAAGTATGGCATGTTCTAAAAATTTTACCTAAAAACACATCCAGTGAGTCTGATTTGACCTGTGGGCCATTATCTGCTGATCCCTGTTGTGACCAACTAAGCTTAACAGGATATTGTGGAGGCAAGAGGGGGCATCGAGAAAAAAAATGTAGAAAATCAGGAAGACTACTGATACTGTATATTATTTTTCAAGTTCAAGGCATAATTTCTATATAATTTTTCTGCTATCTGTGACCTAATTACACACATTTGAGTACTGAAAAGTTAAGCACAATAAAAAAGTTCAAGCTCATGGCAAACACATATGAAAGTTAAATTAAACTGACTTGAGTCAAGAATTTTGACATCCAATAAATAAACTTACATAACTTAACACAAAGGATTTTTGTGCAGAAATAGACAAAATGATTACTTACAACCATAGGCAGTTTGCGACTGTCTCGATATCGGTTCGTGTAACCAACATACAGCACAAGGGCACCAATGCAGTATAAGAACACAAGGACTGCGAATGTAACATAGAACTGTGCTGAGGAAGAGTAATCTCCTATGAGGACATGCTCTCCCCAAGTCACATTACACAGATGTGCATCTGAAGCTGCCTGAAAAGACGCCTGATTCAACCTGTTAAAAAAAAAAGACAAATAAATTATTAGGCTCTCTCAACAGAATTGGACAGACATAGATATTAATATGACATTTTGAACAAAAACAGTTCCCAAATCATCAAATATTTCCTTTCAAAGAAAATTCTAGGTCTAAATAAATAAAATTGTCATTATATATGTAAATAAATCAGAGCTGGTAACTGATTTATGAGAGATTGACTATGCCTGAAGTAAACCCTTCCACACCTAGATAGTAGTCTGTATATCGACACCAGGAGAGCCAGTTAATTATAATGCTTCATATTTTAATCTTGGATTAATGTTACTACATGAAAATCCACATTACCTTCAGCTTTCTCTGTTCATAAATCACAAAGATCCCACTAAGATTGCTACTAACAGTCCCCTGTAGGACACCTGCACAGCACAAGTGGTAGTAGGCATAGGATCTGACGACTGCTAAGTGTTTCTTCTTGACACATCGCTTAATACAAGCTTTTATTATCCAAGCATCCTTTAAAAGGTAGTATTTCCAGTCTACTGGACAGAAGAACTGAGAATTAACTCAGGAGATACTCAACAATTTTTTAAATGAACCCTGAAGCTCAAAAAAACCTCTACAAAATGCAAAATTTTTGCCTGAAAGTATGGTAAGATGATAGTGGAACACAGAACTGTTCACTTTATATATAGGTTTTTAAATTATGTGAAGAAAATTATTTTTCAGTCATTAAAAAACCATGAGAAATCTGGACTTTGCTCTGCTACACTAAGACAACAGAATAACCTACCTTTTTCTTTTTCTTAAAAACATTTATTTATTTATTTCAAAGGCAGATGACAGAGATCTTCCATCCTGTGATTCTCTGCTCAGTGGTTGCAAAGGCCAGGCTGGGCCAGGCTGGGCCAGGCTGGGCCAGGCTGGAGCCAGGAGCCAGGAACTAAGTCCATCCGAGACAGCTCGGGGAACCCCAGTGCGTAGCTGGTGTTTTCTGCCTCTTAGGCTCACCAGCAGGAAGCAGTGTAGAATAACACAACCTCAAACTGGCACTCCCGTGAGGAAAGTCAGGAATCCTAAGCAGCAATTCAATCCATTGTGCGAGGATGCCCACCCATTCTGTTTTTTGATTTCCAATTCCTATTTTGGGATGATAAACATGTCTAGGCACAGGTGATGTCATTATAAAGTTTTAAAATTGTCTCCCACATGAAAGTCCCTAAATGCTTATTCTCATTTTTCTGTATTTATTTCATCAGATGAGGAAAAACGTTGGCAGACAGGCACTGGCCTGTTTCGAGTAGCAATGATCACTCAGAAAAGAGCTTGGGGGCACGGCACGGTAGCCTAGTGGCTAAAGTCCTTGCCTTGAAAGCGTCAGGATCCCATGTGGGTGCCAGTTCTAATCCCAGCAGCTCCACTTCCCATCCAGCTCCCTGCTTGTGGCCTGGGAAAGCAGTCGTGGACGGCCCAAAGTCATGTGGGAGACCCAGAAGAAGCTCCTGCCTCCGGATCACCTTAGCTCCAGCCTTGTGGCCACTTGTGGAGGGAACCAGTGGACGGAAGATCCTTCTCTCTTTTTCTCCTTCTAATTCTTTCCAATAAAAAAAAATAATAAAAACCTTTAAAAAATCAGCATGAACTCTAAAATTTCTCCTAAAACAGTTATCAAGAATTCCTAGAAATTAAACAAATATATATTTGAGACAGCTTCCATCCTGGGTTCCCTCATGAAATGCCTTCAGCAGCCAGGGACCTGTCAGGGCTGAAGCCGTCTCGTGGGGGAGACAGAGCGTCTCATGAACCACCGGAGCCGTCGTGTTTACCTCCCAGAGTGTGCAGTGGTGGGAAGCTGGAGTTGAAAGCAAACAAGGGGATGCATATTAACCTCTAGGTCAAATGTCTGCCAGCGCTGCTGGAAATGTCAATGATTCACTATGAAAATAAAAAACGTGGTTAAACCAGAGAAACAAATAGGTAACTCACCTGAACGGATAACCAAAAGAAGCTGTAACAGTCTCATTGGCAGAAACTTGAGGAGGACAATTCACCAGAATCTCTGTTTTGCCCTTAAAACCCCCACAGGTTGCAAACGTAAAGATGGAGGCAAACTACACAAAATAAGATCAGAAAAAGAAGGAAAAATGTAGTGAATCCTAAACAAAGGCAATTAAAACAGCAAGTACAGCGACTGTTAAAACTGGCTAACATTTTAGAAATTCTTCATCAGAAATTAAACATAGGTAGGGAAAATCATTCAAATATTTATTTGCAAGTCTCAACAAATGACTTCACTTTCCTAAGCATAAAAGTTAATATTCCAGTCCATACAGTAATTCACTTATGCATACTTCAATACATGTACTAAACATGAGCATGAAATTCAGAGAAACAGCTATTAGTGTCAAAAATAAACGGGGTACCTGGAGTTATTGTTATTTGGAATCCTCAGCTGTAAAGCCAAGTGGTTCTTTACGGAGAAGAGACGCTACTTCATCAGTGTGAAAGTTTCCTAATCATGCATCTGCTTAAAAAGTGGTAACGATGGGGTCTGGTGTAATAGTCTAGCAGCTAAAGTCCTCTTCTTGCATGCAACAGGATCCTATATGGCACTAGTTCTAATCCTAGCGGCCCCACTTCCCATCTAGTTCCCTGCTTGTGGCCTGGGAAAGCAGACAAGGACCAGCCAAAGCTTTGGGACCCTGCGCCCATGTGGGAGACCTGGAAGAAGTTCCTGGCTCCTGGCTTTGATTCAGCTTAGCTCTGGCCATAGTGGCTGCTTGCAGAGTGAATCAACGGATCAAAGATCTTCCTCTCTCTCTGTATAGTTGACTTTCCAATAAAAATAAACCTTAAAAAAAAAAAGCGCTATGATGTTCTTAAATGCTATCTATTATAGAAAAAAAAACCCAAAAAGCAAGCAAGCAAGCAAACAAACAAACCTGAAAGCATCCCAAATGTTGACAGGGAGCCAAACCATCATTCATACAACGGAACAGATGGCTACTGAAACATTGGGGATTATCCACCTGTTCAATACACTTACAAGTTTTTTTTAAAAGCATTGTTCATGTATTCACATATATGTATACACACACAAACTAGAAAGGTTACACATGCAAATCTTAACAGTGGTCGCTCTCAATGATACGGGAAATCAAAGTTCATTCTTCTATCTGTACTTCTTAACTTCCTATGTGACTTGTGTTTTTGCTTTTATTCATTTTTACGAGCCAGAGCTACTTTAGAATCATGTCACACTGACCTCACACGATTTTTTATGCCAATCCTGTTTATATGGATTTTTTCAATGGTTTTCCAATTCAAGCCATCTTTCTAGATTTATTGGCACTATATTCACTAGTATAGGAGTACACAGGCCAGGTGCTACGTGCTTCTGTCACACAGAACTAATCAGTGCACCTGAAACAGTATGTATTTATACCGTAGAAGCGCACCTTTGCTTCTGCCGGGAATGTCCCTGTTCTCTAACAGTTCTCACGATTCTTCTGCTACCACAGACCTTAACTCCATCATACACTAACTGCACTACAGCAATTCTGTCTGTTTAAAAAACAAAATGAGGGTGGGCTTAGTGCTAGAGTGGACTGGGCAGGAATTACGACACCCATATGCAGAGATGGGGAATCTTTTTTCTGCCAAGGACTACTTAGATATTTATAACATTCAAGGCCATAAAAACTATCAACTTAAAAATTAGCTTTCTATAGATTCACTCAATTTTGAGTCCAGCTAGTGGCTGCTTTGGTAGATCAGATGATTTAGTGAGCTTTACAATGCCCACAAGTCAGGTGTTTCCCCCTACTGCCTATCTCACTGCAGTTTAAACCCTGCTTGCTCAGCTTTCAATCCAGCTCACTGTTGATGTGCCTGGGAGAGCAGCAGAAAATGGTCCAAATATATGCTCCTACCAGCCACGTAGGAAGCCAGGGTATGGGCCTGGCTCAGCCCTGACTATTGGTGCCATCTGGAGAGTCAATCAGCGGATGGAAGCGCCCTCTCTCTTTCAAAAGATTAAATTTTAAAAAGACAAAACAGGCTTCCAAATTAACAGAAAATTTAGCAAATGAAAGGCATGCTGTGGCTTGTTTTTAAAACCATGGCCTTGGGGCTGGTGGCACTGTGGCATAGTGGGCAAAGATACTACCGGTATGAGGCCAGCATGATGGCTCAATTGGCTAATTCTTCGTCTGTAAGCACCAATATCCCATAAGAATGTCAGTTCCCGTCTTGGCTGCTCTACTTCCCATCCAGCTCCTAGCTTGTGGCCTGGGAAAACAGTGGAGGATGGCCCAAAGTCTTGGGATCCTGCAGCTATGTGGAAGACCTGGAACAAGCTCCTGACTTTGGATCAGCCCTGCTCTGGCCATTTGGAGAGTGAACCAATAAACAAATATATCTTAAAAACAAAACAAAACACCACCTACAATGTAACATCCTATATGGGTTCTGGTTACAGTCCTAGCTGCTCAATATCTGCTCCGGCCCTAATTAATCATCTGGGAAGAGCAGCGGAAGATGGTCCAAGTATTTGGGTCCCTATGGTTCACAGAGGAGACTCAGATGAACCTCCTGGCTTACTAGCTTAGGCCTGACCCAACCCTGGCCGTTGTGGTCTCTGGGGAAATGAACCTCTCTTTCATAACTTTTTTTTTTTAAACGACTACAGCCTCTACTCTTCCCTGCCTGGTTAGACTGCCATGTCTTTGTACCTGCTCTCATCCAAAAGCCTGACACATCACAAATGCCTACTAAACAACTAAATTAAGGAAAAAATTTTAAAAGTTTAAAAAATGTATTTATTTTTATTGGAAAGAGAGATATACAGAGAAGATGAGAGATAAACAGGAAGATCTTCCATCTGTTGATTTACTTTCCAAGCGGCCGCAATGGCCGGTGCTGTGCCAATCCAAAGCCAGGAGCCAGGAGCTTCCTCTGAGTCTCCCACACGAGTGCAAGGTCCCAAGGCTTTGGGCCATCCTCGACTGCTTTCCCAGGTCACAAGCAGGGAGCTGGATGGGAACTGGGGCTGCCAGGATTAGAGCCATGCCCATATGGGATCCCAGTGCTCGCAAGGCAAGGACTTTAGCTGCTAGGTTAACGTGCCAGACCTAAGGAAAAATATTCCTAATGATTTAAAATACATCATAATTTGAACGTCACAGAACCAGCTGAAAGCTTATCATAATAAAAGCATCATAGCAGTTCTGATCTTTATCTTATCTTACAGAAAAAAGGGACAAAGTACACATTTTATATTTAACAAAGTACAAAATAATCTGAGTAAATTATCCAGCCAAATCACCTCTTACTATATTTTACTGCCATTCTGATCTAAACTGGAAGCTGCATACTGGCAAGTGCACTGCTAAAAACTAGTCTGAAGACATGTATGTGTAATCTTTCAAGTACTTATTAAAAAATATGAATTTGTTGCCAATATTTTACCAACAGAATAATACACACGAAAAGTTGGATTTCCTGATTTCCCTGACTTTGTGTGGTGAAACTAAGACCTGTTAACATCAGACCCACATTTTCTTAAGGCAACAATCAGACGGAAGAGAGTGACAGATTCCATGTGGGGTATGTGCTTTTCAGACTGTGTCTTAACAACCTGTCAAGTGGCCAGTAATCAATGACTTAATACTACTGTATCTCATCCAAACAGCTTGTTTTACTCATCTATTTTGAGGGTGGTTGCTACAGGCACTTCAGTTTGTATCACTTGTCTAATATGTAGAGTATATAATATGTAGAAATACTATCAAAATAGATAATAAAAAATTATATATTTCCATTTTATTTGAGAAACGGAGGGAAGGTTTCAGAAACGAAAGGATGCAGGGTGCAGGGAGGAAGAGAGGAGTTAGGAAAATCTTCCACCTGCTGATTCGCTCCTCACAGGCCCGTAACACCTAGAGCTGGGCCAGGATCAAGCTAGAAGAGGAAAGGCCAACACTGACAAATCCGCATGGTTGGCACAGACGCCAGGCCCCCAAGGGAGGCATCAGTAGGACGTGTGAACTGGAGGCAGAGCTGGGACTGGACCCCAGGCACTCCCACATGGGATGCATGCATCTCAGTGGCATCTTTGTCATGGCAGTGCCAGCCTCCGATCTCTGGAACCTCTGAAATCATTTTCCCTCTCCTGTTTGGCCCATGGAGAGTGACTGAAGTTGCAGACACAGAATTCTGTTTTAACTACCAAGAACGCAGAGGCAGCATAGTAGCAAGCTTATCTTTCAAGACCAAAAGGTCTCATATTCATCATGAAAGTCCCAGGTTAGCAAAGAAAACAGCTGCATTTATCTGTGTGAACACAGAATCCACATCATGCATATTCCACATTTAGACAGACATCTGTAACCTCAGGGTTAATATTACAACCCAGTTCTCGAGAATGTCTGTCTCCAAAGAACCCTGGAATACTCAATTTTAACTGATGTTATGAGAAAAATCAAACTTTTAGTTATTGTCTACTTTTAGATTTCTATAAGGAATTAAAGCTTTACCATAAATAATATATCACTGAAGCCATGTTAGACTTGGTTGTCAGAGGGCCTCAAGTCAGTCTACTATGCTGGGTAACCTTTGCAGGGACAGATAGTAATAACCGCATTTTTCTTTTTGCTGCATTGCCAAAAATATAATGGCTGTCTCTAGAGAAAACATTTATGTAACTGAGCTGTCAGTGAAACTAGTTAAATTTTTATTTTGGGTTAACACAACTAATCTCTTCCACCTTCATAGTCAAATAGTTTCCCTTTCTTCACTTTCTTACCAGATACCCATTCTGATGACTACAATTTCGCTTATGATTTTACCCAAACTGCTCTTGCTAAAATCTCACTAAAATTACCAAAATCATTTAAGTCCTTGTTTAACGTAGTCTCTCAACAGTACCTAACAATGTGAAGCACTCTCTTCTTGAAATTTGTTTCTAATAGGAGTGTCAAAATATTTTTTCTCTTTCCAGTCAAATATGCCGAGATGTTTTAAATTCTAAGTCCTTATGCACAACTCTCTACAGGACACAGCCACTTTCACGAGGGGGGGGGGGTTGAAATATTGATGGAAACTTTGCGTTATCTTTTAATTCAATTTTTCACCAACTTTTTTGAAAAGCCCAATGCCTGACCTAAAGAGATCAAACTCAATACATCAAAATCCTTACCAATCTTTGCTTCAAAAATCCAAACCCCACGATCTCTATTCCCCTAGCTGCTAGTTTTAGGCCTTCATAATTTCCCAAGCATGAGATTGCCCTTCTTTTAGTTCTGATTTTTCCAATTCATCCTCTACACATTGTTGAGAAAATGCAAAGTATTAAAAAGCAAATCTAATACTCATTTACTCAAAACCTTGGAATGGACCTCCATCCCTTACGACATGAAGCGTAGGCATGTTCCCTCTATTTTGTACATATCTTTACATATTTATCATATGGCATTTTCATATTTGTTTTCATGTCCATCATGCTTACTGTGCCATAAGGAAAAGACTTTTTATTCATGCTTGTATGCTAGTGTTTAATGTGGTAATATGTGATGCTCAAATATTTGATGAATAAATATGCACTACACCATTAACAACAAGCAGTTTTACAAAGAAGTCTCCTGTATGAAAATTAGTTCAAATTAGATGCATTTCCTCAAAAAGCTTAGAAGGAGCTTTCTCAAAATATATCAGAACCCTACGGAACTATCAATATGCTTTAAGAACAGTTTTAAGGAACTGACAAATACAAGAACAACTGAAGCTGCTTCTTCATTTACGTGAAAAATCTGCACTACTTAAAGTCCTTAGACTAAATCTGTCAGGTGTAAGTCTTTTTCTTACCTTTTACATTGGATTGGCCTAAACATTGTATTTTCCCCCTGAAATCTTTAAATGCTCAAATAATTTTACATTTAAACACGAACCCAAGTTTAGAATACACATTCATGTGCTTCTGAAGAAACTGATGTTTGTGTTATGTCAGCATTACTTCAGTTTTCATGATAAAACCCAGCAAAATTTAAATTAAATGCTCATTAGAGAATGGGTGCTGCTGTGTTACTTCTAAAAAGGTCTGTCTCTCCTCTATAATCTGACTTTCCATTAAAAAAAAATCTTAAACAAAACAAAACAACCAACAGCCTAAGCAGGGCATCACAAGCTCCTGTCTTTAGTCACTTTCTCACTAAATTCAGGCGTGGGAGTATTTTGGATGTCGCTTGTTGGCCGTGAGCGCAACCTGCGTGCGCACGGGACAGTGGCCAGCTACCCAGGGACTACTGCTTACGGGCCTGAAAATCATCCCCTTCCACCCAACTGCGGGGTCTCGAGGGCGGAAGGAAGCTCGTAGCCCCGCGCCTTCCCCAGCTCCTCCCAGCCACTGCCAAGGTCCCGTGAATAAGCTTCCTTTGATGTGAATTATTGCGAAGGTTCCCAGGAAAAAAGCTGACTCGCCCCAAACGGACCTATAAGCGGATGCCACTTGTGTGACAAGGCCTTCCCGCACGCTCCCACCCTCCCGGATTCCCCGCTCCTAGCTTTAACTGGGTTTTAAACCAAAACACCGAACGTCGGACCGAAGCAGCTTCCGAGCGGCCAAGGCGGGCCTCAGCGGCGGGGGGACCCCCGCACCCGGTCGCTCCGGTGGCCCGTCAGGTTTCGGTTGGACCACAACAGGAAACTTTCTCTTCCTTTACGGGAGGCGGCGAAACCTCAAGAGAAACCTGAACTTCCACCCCACCCCACCCGGGCGTCCAGATCGGTGATCCGCCGCCGGCCGCCGCGTCTCCGCCCCGCGCGGGCCCCGGGCCGCGGCCTCCCCGGCCCTCCCTCCGATCCCGGCCCCGCGCGGGGCCACCCCGCACTCACCCACTCGAGGACCTTGATGAAACCGAGCGGCTCCTTGAGCGGGTTGAGGTTGATCTGGAAGGAGGACATTCTCTGAGGGAGGGAGGAGGGGGAAACAAAAGGAGGGGAAAAAAAAAAAGAAATCAAGAAGACGGCGGGGCTCGGAGGAGGAGGGGACCGACGACGGCCGAGCAGCCCCGGGAGCGAGGAAGGGCAGGCGGGGAGGGCGGGCAGGGCTCGGAGGAGGGCCGGGCGGTCGTGGGGCGGGACGGGGCGGCGGCGGTTGAGCCGCGGCCAAGGCGCTGGGGGCGGAGACGGAGAGGAGCGGCTGGGAGGTGCTGGGGGCGGGCTGGGAAGCGGAGGCTCCGCCTGAGCCGCACCTGCCCCAGCCGGCTGATCCGCTGGCGAACCGAGTACATGTTGGACGCCATGCTGCGTGCGGGGCCCCGCCTCCTTTCCAGAAGCCCAGCCCCGGCGCTCCCGCCTCCTCCCGCGCACGCGCGCGCCTCTCAGGCTCGGCCTCGCTTCCGGCGCGCAGCCTCCCTGCGCTCCGCCCCCTCCGGGAGGGGGGGGGGAAGACCTCGGTTCACGCCTGCGCGCAGGGGTTTGAGAGGAAGGTTTGAAGGCAGCGCGAAGCCGAAGTTTTCCCGGGGGGTCGCCGGGATGCTCTCACTTGCTAGGGCTCTGACTGTCTTTTCTACAGCTTTCTCGGCCCCCTTGCCCGCCTTTTCTCCTCATGATTTCCGACGTTTGGCTGAGTCTGTCAGGTATTGACACAGACCAAAGATGCATCTCAAAGATTGTTTAGGCGCCCTTTATTGAAATGGTGGAGTTACCCCCGAAGCACGGACTACTGACTGTGGGGGTATTTAGGACCAATAAGCATCTCTGTGGAAGTTAGACTTAATTCCATGGCTCCTGGAGCCAAAGCTGAAGGATGAAGAGGGAAAGCAGGCGTGGCAGGCCAGGCACCTGCAGACGGATGGGGCTCACGCCCTCCTACCCTTCCTTGTCTGTCCCATCTTTCCCTCAGGTCTTGAGTCTTTCTTTAGCAGGCTGAGTCCAATGTCCACAGTTGGGGATACAGCCTCCTGGCACCCCACTGTTGGGGCCCATGGGAGTAATCACTTGCCTGTCCAGCTCAATATCTCAAAAGTTGCTATTAGAGCAGAAAAGGTGACCTAACAGGGCAGAGTGTCACAGTCTGTAGGAAGAAGAAACTAGAGCTTGAGGTATACCAGATTCCATCCAAGCACTTGCCTGTATGTACCAAGTTAATTTTTTTTAAAAGTGTATTTTGCTAATTAGTAAGGCAGAGCCACCTCAAATGACCTCAGTGACGGGCTGTGCCAGGCTGAAGCTAAGAGCCTGGTACTCTGTCCTGCTCTCCAAGGCAGTGGCAGGGGCTTGAGCACTTGAGCATTCATCTGCCACCTCCTGGGCAGGGAGTTGGATCCGACGTGGAGCAGGTAGGGCTTGAACCAGAGCTCCAGATTAGGTGCTAGAGTCCCAAGCAGGGCAGCTTACTACACAGGGCCCCTTCTGAGTTAATTTCTGGTCGTGGTCTTTGGATTACCAGGTTACTTCTGAAGATACTCCATCAGGGCTGACAACTGGTAATGCCAGTCAGAGAGCTAGCTGTTTCAGGACCTATTTGCCAGCTTGTTTGCAGGTCAGAGTGCAAAGAATATAATGTCCTTGCAGACTAACACATTTTAAAAAATATTTATTTATTTTTATTGGAAAGTCAGATATATAGAGAGGAGGAGAAACAGACAGGAAGATCTTCTGCCTGATGATTCACTCCCCAACTGGCCACAACAGTCAGATCTTAGCCCATCTGAAGCCAGGAGCCAGGAGCCTCTTCCGGGTTTCCCACGCAGGTGCAGGGTCCAAAGGCTTTGGGCTATCCTTGACTGCTTTTCCAGGCCACAAGCAGGGAGCTGGATGGGGCGCAGGGATGCTGGGACAGGAACCAGTGCTCATATGGGATCCCAGAGCATTCAAGGCGAACACTTTAGCCACTAGGCTACCGTGCCAGGCCCTATACATTTTCATTCTTATCCTCACTCTCCTTCCTCAGTCCCCAGGAAAGAGCACCGAGTTCTGTTAGTATCTAATGCGTGGCTGTAGATCCATCTGCCTGAGCAAGAAGGCTTCTGAGACGTCTCTGCGCCTGGTCAGAGAAGGCGGCGCTCCAGGATGGCATTGTGCAGCACCCACACCCTCTTCCTTCCTTTGTTTCTCTCTCTTTCCCTTTGGCCCTGCTCTTTTTTATTCCCTTTAAGCCACCCACCCCACTCCCACCAACCCCAGCAAACCTTCGTTCAACTAAGGCCTTTTGGGTAGGGAGCTGGAGGTGGAATAGTGGATAATATGACTATTGACTTGGATTTCAAGAATTCAAATTAGGCTGTTTATGTTGTTTCAAAATGAGATATACAATCAGAAAAGAAAGCCTTTCATCTTACAACTTTATTAGCTTCAGAGATCTACATGATATCATGATGTTGTAAGCCCATCACAGTTTCAGGGCGCTCCCCTGAAGTACAGGTGCTGTAATGTAACCTCCAGAATGATGTGTTGTTGGAGGCGGGCCATTTGGGAGGCATTTAGGATTAGATGAGGTCATGAAGGTGAGACTCTGGGATGCCTTTAGAGGCTTTGTGAGGAGAGAGAGACCTGGCTGCACCCACCTGATCTGTCTCCCGATGCGGTGCCCTCGGCTGTGTCCTGATGGAACCAGGCAATGTTACCGTACGCTTGGACTTTCCGGGCTCCAGAAAGGTGAGTCCAATCAACTTCTGTGGTTTTGTGTGTGTGTGTGAATTTACTCAGTGTGTGATAATCAATTTTAGCAATGGAAAATGGACTGAGATACTCATTTTGGTATTGTTCTTCATTTATTTCGTGTATCAAGGGTCTCAGAAAATAGAACCATTGAGCTGTTTTTTAACTTCTGAGATTTGCTTTCAGTTGCCTCTTTTGCTTCCTGTCACTTTCTCTTCTGCTTTTTGCTCAAACCCACCAGTGGAAGGCATGATTGTTGCTTCTCGTTACTGCTACCATACGCAGTTTGTAATTTAAGAAGGCCATTTCCTTGATTTCCGCTCCCTGTGCCTCAGTTGTCTCCCCACTGATTTCCCCCATATCATTACAGTAGTATAGTCCTTCAAAAATAGTCATAAGTCCATCGCTCTGCTGTTTAAGTGTGTCATGACATGTAGGTATAGACAATGTGGCCACTGACTGTTAAAGATTAAAACAAAAAAGGAGTGGACATTTGGTATATTTGGTATTTGATACCTGTTAGGATGGCCACCCTTCATATTGAAGTGCCTGGGTGTGAGTCCCAGCTTCACTCCCAGCTGCTAATACGCCTTGGAGGTTCAAGTGATGGCTCAAGTACTTGGGTCCCTGCTACTCATGTAGGCAACCCAAACTGAGTTCCTGGCCCCTGGGTTAGGCCTGGCTCAGCCCCCGCCATGATGAATATTTGTGGAGTAAATCAGCAGATGGCGTTTCTCTGTCTACCTGTGAATTACGTTAATAATAAGTGAAATAAAGATAGATCATACTATCATAGGATAAACAGGCCCGCATCTGCTCATTGTTGGAACTCACATATAGAGTCTGAGTAGAACAAAGAGCGAGCCACTATTGTTCCCTTCAGTCGCTTATGGGTCAGTCAGCAGGTGTAATCCCTGCCTTCCTCAGAAGGAGCTGACAGTTACTGGCAGGTCCAGTGAGATTTGATTAAGTGACCAGACAGTTACGATTAAAAACAAACAAACAAACAAAAAACCTCCATATCAAGAGCATTTCATTGTAGGCACAATAGTTCAAAATCTAGGAAGAGTGTTAAGGTGATTACATTACACTGATTATAACTTGGTAATTTTAAGGTTTGTTTTTCAAATCTGAGGGAAAAAAAAATCCAGAATCTCTGGGCACGTCACATTCCAGGTCTATTCTTCCAGGGCCATTATGACAGATAACACTGCTTTGGCTATCTGAGGTGATATTGTTGGGCTATATGTATAGTGGTGTAAATATGGTTTAAGTTACCTATATAATTTATCATGGTTTCACTTTCTCTTTGCTCTTTATAAAACATGTACCAGGCTGTGATATGTGGGTTTTCAGAATACTTAGAAAGTCTGAAAAGAAGCTATTTTTAAGCATATCGTATCATTGTTTTGCTATATTTTTTTACATTTTTCCTAATGGGAATGAAAAGTTTTAGTCATTTTATTGGCAAGATGAGACTTTTTAATTTATTCTTAACTGTTATTTCTCTTTTTTTCTGAAAAGATGATTTTTAGTATGAGTAAGTTCAAAGCCAAAGTTTTGCTTCTAAACACAGCAGATTCATTCCTGCTTACTGATTAATTTAATTATCATTTTGTAAAAGTTTAAAGATAGCTCCTAATTTGTTTGAATTGTGCAACAGGTAGATTAAATAGAGAATGAATTTCAAAATAATTTAAGTCTTTCTAAAATAAAGTTTCAAGTTTTAATTTTTATTTCTATAAAAGTTACACAGCACTAGAATTTCTGTATACACTTCACCCAATTTCCTCTGATGTTAGTATTGTCTGTAACTAATATGTTAAAATAAAAGTATACAATTTTGAAAGATTTATTTATTTTTATTTGAAAGACAGAGGTACAGAAAGAGAAGTAAAGGCAGAAAGAGAGGTTTTCCATCTGCTGGTTCATTTCCCAAATGGCTGCAACAGCTGGAACTGAGCCATTTTGGAGTAGGAGTTTCTTCTGGGTTTCCCACTTGCTACAGGGCCTCCAAGCCATTGAGCCATCCTCTGCTGCTTGCCCAGGCCGTGAGTAGAGAGCTGGCTCAGAAGTGGAGCAGCTGGGACTCAAACTGCCTCCTAGGTGAGGTGCCAGTGCTATAGGCAGAAGCTTAGCCTACTGTACCACTATGCTGGCCCCCAAAATAGGAAAAAACAAAACATGGCTATATTACTATTGACTAAATTACAGAATTTCAAGCTCCCAGTATTATCCTTCTAGTACACCAGGATCCAGTCCAAGAAATGATATTTGATTAGGTTTGTTTTGGAAGTAGTATTCAGGAATGGAGAGAAATGTATAAGTAAAACACCAAAATATTTCTCATTCTGTTGAAGAAGCAACAAAGAGTGTGAGGATTCAGCGTAAAGCAAATTGGTTGAACTCCAGGAACCTGGTGAA